AGGATGCATAGAGTGCATCCTCGGGGGCAGAACCCGAAACTCGGTCCGGGTAGGCGAGGCACTTGGTTAGGTAAGTAATTTGTACTAATTACTTGCTGAAGCCTGTAAAACGGTTATTTACAGTTACATTTCCTTTGAGAAAAAGGATGTGAGGTTCCGGCTGTTCTGTCAGGACTGAATGTCTTATTTTATTTACTTATTCATTTATGTATTCCCTCGCACATTTATTATTCATTTATTATAACGTTTATTTCAAATTATATCCTACTGGGTCTTTCGCTCACGTTTTATGTTTTAAATGTATTAAACCCCTCCCAGGAGATTCTAGGAGCGGTGCACAGTAGCTGGATATGTACTACGGAGTAGCTAAGTTGTGCTACTGTTGGAATCAAGTGAGGATTGTGGTTATCCTCGGGTATAAATGTAAGGAACTGAGAATTCTATAAACTTATGTAATATTCGGATTAACTAGACTGTGGTTGATGTCTGTTATAATGATTATTTATATGTTCATGTATGTACGATACTGTATGTCCTGTGGGGTGGAGCCCTGTGTGTCAGAGGCTCCGGAATTTTGTAATTTATTCATATTTTAATGCAGTTGAGTGGGGCCGGTTGGGAATCTGCTTTATTAATCCTTAATCGAGCTCCACGTCACCCATCCCGTTTGGGGGGCGTGACAAATCCACATTCATAGGAGTGGCGGCACGTGCCACCGCCCACATTTTAGAATTTAGTTTTTACTTTTTACACTTTTTTTAATAGAAAACTACAGTTGTGTCTTCTATTTTATAAGAAAAATTATAATTGTACACGCCCTCACTCAATAGTAGAAATATAATATTACGTCTAAGAATTATGCTCCCCAATAAATCTATATCATTTGTAGGGAACAACTTACAAGCTTCTATTAATAATTTGGATAAATATTTTGAATAATGGAACATACCCAAAAACCTAGTTGTATCATGTGTTTTTTTACTAACCCCCAACTCCATGTAACCACAAAATATTTTTGTAATTTATTTAGTTATTTATTTATTTATATTTTATGAAGATAAATTATTGCCTGCAAATATTAGCTTGACCATCACTGTAGTATGTAGCTTCTCCCAAATTGTATGCGTTTTTGCCTCTGGCTTTGCCTCTCAAAGAAATGTAGGAGGCTCACTCAAGCGCAAGTAACAAAACAAATAATAATAATAATAATAAAACTCGACAATTAATCCAAACCTATTATCGTTTTAAATGTCCTATAATAAAATATACCTCAATTTCAAGAACCCCATGTTGGTTTTCGTCAGTGGTTGCTTTCATTGCCATAATGTGTTGCCCTGGCATTTGAATCTGTTTCTTTAAGCAATTTTCTAAGATTTCCGACACAAGTCTTTTA